GTGTGTTACTTAAAACAGGCAACCACTAAGTGGGTGTAATTCCTCTCTATAATAGCCTCTGAGATGATTCGCTTTGTGGTGGGACTTTTTTTACGACCTTTTTATTGACAACCAAAATTTTTCATTAAACTGTAAACAAACTATTGAAAAGTAAAATTCCGAGTGTAATTAAATAATTAAACCTTCATAAAAACCATAAAAAATAATTTAGTATTTAATATTGTTGTAATTTGTTGCATATGTGTATGTGTTTATTACCTTTAATGTATTACCACTAATTAGACGCGTATTAAAAAAAATATGCAAAAATTGCATTTCGAGCTTGATAATATTTATTTAAGATTACATTTACAATAGGTATTATTTTTAAGAAATTCCAATGATTTATTTATTGATGCTTGTTAAAAGTTTGCGTGCAATCGCGACAGCAAATATTTACCTACAAAAATAGCTACGGCATAATAAAAATATTGTAACTGACATGACGTCAACGTTTTAAGTAGGTCTTAGATCCGATTGTTCTAAATTTCTTTTAAATCACCCGCTGGTCAGTAGATAACTGGTTTAAATTCCATTATAGCTAATTATTCTAACTTATAGAAAGGAAAATTTAGATTTTTATTGGGATATTGCACTTTGAACAAAAATAATGGTCTTGTGTTGGTTCGTTAGGATTCAGTTTGGTACCTTTTAAAAAAATTAATTTTTTTTCAGAAACTATTTGAGACAGAGTTTACCAAAAATGATTTTTACAACTACTACTGGGTAAATGAATTTGTAGTATAGTATGACTTTTTTTGAAACTTTAGTTTGGGAGATATAAATTTAATCGGACCTTTTAAAAAAATTTTTTTTTCAGAAACTCTTTGAGACAGAGTTTATCAAAAATGCTTTTTATAACTACTACTGGGTAAATGAATTTCTAGTATAGTATGACTTTTTTTGAAACTTTAGTTTCGGAGATATAAATTTGATCGGATCTTTTAAAAAAATTATTTTTTTTTCAGAAACTATTTGAGACAGAGTTTACCAAAAATGATTTTTATAACTACTACTGGGTAAATGAAATTGTAGTATAGTATGACTTTTTTTGAAACTTTAGTTTGGGAGATATAAATTTAATCAGACCTTTTAAATTTTTTTTTCAGAAACTATTTGAGACAGTGTTTATCAAAAATGCTTTTTATAACTACTACTGGGTAAATGAATTTCTAATATAGTATGACTTTTTTTGAAACTTTAGTTTCGGAGATATAAACTTGATCGGATGTTTTAAAAAAATTAGTTTTTTTCAGAAACTATTTGAGACAGAGTTTACCAAAAATGTTTTTTATAACTACTACTGGGTAAATGAATTTGTAGTATAGTATGACTTTTTTTGAAACTTTAGTTTCAGGAGTATAAATTTAATCGGACCTTTTAAAAAAAATAATTTTTTTTCAGAAACTATTTGAGACAGAGTTTACCAAAAATGCTTTTTATAACTACTACTGGGTAAATGAATTTCTAGTATAGTATGACTTTTTTTGAAACTTTAATTTCGGAGATATAAATTTAATCGGACCTTTTAAAAAAATTAATTTTTTTTTCAGAAACTATTTGAGACAGAGTTTACCAAAAATGATTTTTATAACTACTACTGGGTAAATGAATTTGTAGTATAGTATGACTTTTTTTGAAACTTTAGTTTCAGAGATATAAATTTAATCGGACCTTTTTAAAAAAATATTTTTTTTTCCGAAACTATTTGAGACAGCGTTTACCAAAAATGCTTTTTATAACTACTACTGGGTAAATGAATTTCTAGTATAGTATGACTTTTTTTGAAACTTTAGTTTCAGAGATATAAATTTAATCGGACCTTTTAAAAAAATTAATTTTTTTTCAGAAACTATTTGGGACAGAGTTTACCAAAAATGATTTTTATAACTACTACTGGGTAAATGAGTTTCTAGTACAGTATGATTTTTTTTGAAACTTTAGTTTCGGAGATATAAATTTAATTGGATCTTTTAAACAACTAAAAATAAATTAAATTTAATTCCCAATGAAATGTAATCTGGATAATTAGCTTATAACATATCTACCCTATGATGAAAAAAAAATGGCGCCGTATTTCGTTCCACTTAATTATCTATCGCACCTGTCCTGTTTGTAAATTTGTAATTTGTTTAATAACATCTAAAATGTAAGATTGGGTGATAAATAATCATGTTAAATAAAGCCTGAATTATAAAAATATACATTTTCTATGAAACCTCGTAGAGATGTCTAAAAAATGTATAATATATAATTTGATAGATAGCTAAATTTTTTATCTGAGGCTCGCAAATTATACAGAGTGTTTTATTTGAACTAAACAATGTATTGACAGAATTTGAAACTAGTAATTATTTAAAATTAATTTTTAGACCCTGTATAAGGTAGTGTAATTTTTGATGTTGTGAACATTAGTAAATAAAAATCAGTGCATAAAACTGAAATATGCCTAGAGAAATGAAGCATTAATATTGTTATTGCATTTTGACAAAATTGTAAATATTTAAAAAACATCCTTTATAACATGTACTTCTATTTTAATCATTGAAACTAAAACTGTAATAATATACAGGGTAATACTATACAGGGTTTAATACTCTTTATTTATATTGGATACTCTTGTACCTTATGAAAATAATTTGAAATTGTAGCTAGTGTCCTTTCGAAGTTCTCAACAGTCACAATTTAAAAAATCTAATCATTTAGATCAAACACTTCCTGTCGAAAGCGTGAATAACCCTGTATATCAGTATGTAAAAATATTTATCCACTAATTAATGCATGGTCCTAATTGGTACCTAACTGGTGTTAATGTAAAGCATTTTTGTCTATCCTATGAACAAAGAACGGTCTTTTGTCTAAATTACTTTCAGTTATTCAATAGTTTCTAAAGAAAAAATTAATTGTTTAATAATTGCTTGAAACAGCTTCTTTACAAAATATAAAAAGTACTGTGAGCTTTTTAGCAAGAATTATACACCCTTGCAACTTTTTATGTATTTCCCCCCTTAGAGGATTTTATATGAAGTAAAATGAAATACTCGATAAAATGGTGAAGGAGCTGTGTCATCCAGTTATGTATAGAATTATTTGGAACATGGAGCATAATGAATATGGAGTAAATGTAAACTGTAATGTAGTATATTTCGATCACAGAAACACGATTATGAGGTTTTTTTCGTGAATTTTTTTTTAATTTTTATGGATTTTTTTTAGTTCATTTTAACTATGAACTAAAAAAAATCCATAAAAATTAAAAAAAAAATTATATATATTTTTATATATTATTTTTATTATTAATTATAATTTTTTGTTAATATGGCAACATAGGTAGTAGATTAAATTTTTAAGAAAGAAAACCCAGAAAAGATCCAGTGCTTCTCAAAATTTAAGCAAAAATTATTTTGTTTGGAAATCTTCAAAGGAAAATAACTCGGTTATTTTGAACTTATTTGAAAATCGGTAAAGATAAAACATGTTTCTTTTATCTAGATCTACCATCCATGAAAATATTTGCACTTATTTAAGACTCACCCTGTCTGTACAGGGTGTTCCACTAAGAATAGCTCTCGGCTGTATTTCGGAAAGTATTAGCCGTAGGGCCTGCGGAAAAAAATATTTAAGACTAAAGAAGCCATGATAAATTGCTGGAAATTATTTTCAAGTTTGTAGAACGGCCGCTAGAGGGCGCAACTGCTATAAAAAAATAAGAAAAAGGAGCGTTTACACAATTTTGCCTAGATAACGGGTACCATAAATAATAGCTTCACAATCTTCAGTAAGTTTTTAATATTTTTATTAAACTTTTAGAACCATTTTGCCCTATCTGCCAAAATAAAGTGGGGTTAGGTAAAATTGGGGGAAGGTTAGATCTTTATTTATTTAAATATTAATAACTCCGGATTGGATGAACGGAATCCAACAAACGGGGGCTCGTTTAAAAGAGAGTTTCTTACTCTATATTATACCGTATAAACAATAATAATAATAAGCTTTTGAATGTAGACGCTAGGGGGCGCTGGCTGTCTTTTAATTTTACAAACATTACGCGTTATTTAACGAAAAAAATAAATGCGATAGTATATGTAATTTTAGCTGATAGTAAAGAATAATAAAAGCTTAAAAAGCCAGCGAAAACCGCATCTTGATATCTTCTTTCAAACCGAAGATATTAGCAAAATAATAATAAATACGAAAAAATAAGCCCTTAATTACCTTACCTTTATAACGCGGTTACAGTAGCCCTCTTGATTATGAATATTCTGACAAAAAATAAGATAGAAATGATTAGTTTATTCTAAAATCGACAATATACCAGAATACTATAATACTAGATCTATTAATATCTAATATAATTTAAGATATCAATGACAGTTAATAAGAAACGACGCCTCAGTGAAGTCATGGTAGGCTTTGGAAAAAAGTTGCTGTTGACGTAATAGTATAAACGTCAAAGTGATATTAGATCAATATTTTGATAGTCTTAGCAGCATTTTTTCTCTATTAAAGAAAGGTATTTTTAGAAAAGCAATCAAAACATAAAAAAAAACGCTCTTGAGACTATCAAAATGTTGATATAACAATATAAAACTATCCCTCTAAAAGCAACTTTTTTCCAAAGCCTACCATGAATTCAATGAGGTGTCGTTTCTTGGCCACCGTCATTGATATCTTAATTATTAGATATTAATACACCTAGTATTATGGTATTCTGGTTCATTGTCGATTTTTTGAATAAAATAATCTTTTTTATTTTCTTTTTAATTAGAATTGTCATAATCAAGAGGGCCCTCTATCACTACGGTATAGTGATAGAGGGCTTATTAGAAAAATAAGGTAATTAAGACGACTAATAGTTTCCGAGATACAGCCGAGAGCTATTCTTAGTGGGACACCCTGTACATATGTAGTAACAGATTAAAATGGGCAATCTAATTAAAGAACATTTTTATTCATTTCAGAATTATCCTCAGCTCCCGATAGACGTCGAAGAAAATGTCCACATCCATTTCCACGACGCAAACAGCCACGGTCTTGCCAAAAGCAGTCAGCTCGTTGAAGAAGAGCGAAGAAAAGCCACCGCTTCAACGGTCCTCGTCCATAGAAACAATCAAACGAATCAACACAATCATCTGCAGTCCCCAAACCTACATCTTGCCGGCCATGTTAACGACGTGGCTGAAAACGGGCCAGACCGGTCTACAATCTTCCACCGAAAAGACGATTTTTATGTTTCGGTCGCTTCTATTCGGCTACCTCTTACAGAAGTTCGTATCAGTTTGGAGGAAATCTGGAGTGAGCAAATCGAACATTACCATACAGAAAACCTCAGCTCAATTGACCGCCAAACTTTTCGAGAGCTTTCCCAGTTTCTTCATATCAGTAGCTTTTTATTTAGTGACGCTTTTACTCATTGCTCAAATTGTACTGTGTGTTCTTCTACTTAATCAGTGCCTTTTACCATACGGCATGCATTTTCTTTTCGCAACCGCCACCTATATAGCTGGTTTGGGATACAAAATAAACTGTTACAGCTACTCAAAGCCAAAGAAACATACGAAGCTCAATTAGGATTAGTAAGGACTTTATAACTCTTTGAAGACGATTATGTTTTTCAATAAATACCTCGGATTTGTATGTATGTAATGTGCCGTGCTAATTTAAACCAAAGAGTTATTTTTTATACTATAAACTATTATACAGGGTGCTATAAAGTAGAGAGAGATTGAATGCAAGTAAATTAGACTGTAAGAAAAGTTCGATCTTTTTTACTATTGAAAAAGGATTCGAATCTTTAAAGAAAGGCTGAAAACATTGTGAATTAGCTACTAAGATTGTGAAGATTAATATTTTTACTGGACCTAGTTTTTATACTGTTCTAGTATTAATAAAAACTTAAATTTATAATATACTTAAATCTGTAAAACTATTTCAGTGTAGATAATAGAAAACTAGATTCCTTATTAAAATTAAGTAGATACTCAAGAAGGCTCAAATTGTGTTGTATTCATTTTTATAAATACATTTTTTAAGGATGATATATAACTTGTTGTTTTATTTTATTTTAAACATTATTATAAAATATAATATATTTTGTGATAATGTTTAATTACATTATTACCTAACATCATTATACAGGGGGTGAGTTTTCTACGATGTTCTCTATGGGTATCTCAGAAACTACAGAAGATAGAGAGTCGGTTAAATGGGGAAAGAATTGCAGTTTTGTAGGGTCATAAATATGCGCCTTTCAGATTTTTGAAAAAGTTCATGGCTTACTAGATATTTCGAAAAAAACAAATTTCGGCTATTTTGAAAATGGTCTCTAATTCCATTATTATCTATTTTAGACAAAACGTTTTCAGATAAAAGTTGTAGATAATCGCATCCTTAATGAGACTGTGTTCTCCGTTTCTTTCTAAAGCCTGCCATTTTTGACATATGGCACAAACTTATGTTTTTTTAAATGGAAACCATAGTTGGCCATGACATCATAAAAAGCGCCAATTTTTAAGCTTTTTAGCGATATAAGATGTAACATGCTTTTTTCGAAAAATTGATGACTTATAGCCAATTCTTATCTTTCTTGACTAATTTCACTTAGTTGGTATGGTATTCTTATTATGTTTGTTATTTATTTAATTATTATAATTTATGACTTATAAAAGACAGACTATTTTATTAAACAGTTCTTTACATATTGCCACAAACTTAAACTTAAAAAATAATGTCACTACATACGGTTTAAGTTATTTTAAAAAATATTCAAAAAATAATTAACTAATCACTTAATTAAACTTCTCTCGTACCTCCACTTCGAGTGCCTCTCTTAATTCATAAGTAAGTTCATATAAGTTTGTAAACCTTATAACCATACCGCATAAAAAAAATCCAAAATAGATAGGTCAGGTGATCGAGGAGACCATGCAATTGGTCTAACTTTTCCTATCTTTGAGTTTAAATAATTATGATATAAATTATTTTTAACATTTTTTTCATGATGAGGAGAGTGTCATAATGAAAGTCATGTTGGAACCATTCTATTGATGCGCGAGGCTCTAAATTTAACTGTCTTCAAAACCGTATGTAACGTATCCTCGAAAATGGATGACCAAGAAAAGTATAACTACTAATCCTACACGCTTTTCTTCATTTGAAAAATTCATATTTACAATTTTTGGTTATTTTAATTTACAAAGTTTTGATGTGACAGTTTCACATTTCTGAGAGCAACGACGATTGAACTTGTTTCCGTGGATAACTAAGTGAAATTGTTTAAAATTGATAAGAATTGGCTATAAGTATTTTTTCGAAAAAAACATATCACAGAAAATATTAAAAAATGGCGCTTTTTATGACGTCATGGCCAACTATGGTTTCCATTTAAAAAAACATAAATTTGTGTCATATGTCAAAAATTACAGACTTTAGAAAATAAAGTAGAACACAATCTCATTAAGGATGTGATTATCTACAACTTTTATCTGAAAACTTTTTGTCTAAAATAGATTATAATGGAATTAGGGATCATTTTTAAAACAGCCAACATTTGTTTTTTTTTTCGAAATATCTAGAAAGCCTTGAACTTTTTCAAAAATCTGAAAGATGCCGCATGTTTATGACCCCACAAAACTGCAGTTCTTACTCCATTCTGACTCTCTATCTCCAGTAATTTCCGAGAGAGTCATAGAGAACATAGTAGAAAACTCACCCTGTATATATATTTTGGAATAAAAAAAACACGTTTAGGCTTATTACTATAATCATAGTGTTATCCTTGTATATTATATAAACAGTGGTTCAACAACATATTCGATGAGGATACTTATAATGTTTTGACGTTATTCATAAAGGGAGTTATGTTATATCTTCAAGTTAAATGTCTTACTTGTTAAAGGTATATAGTATATTATGAGTTCAGTCATGGGGATCAAAAAAGGGGCCTGTTTGGAAAAAAGTCCGGAAGTTTTGAAACTTTGCAGGTTTATAGGTTTTGGGGTCCCTAACTAAAATCCATAAAATGCACATTGCCAGACTTGCCGCCGGCGCCGCCAAGATGGCGCTCAAAATCGGTATTTTGTAAATATCTCAAAAACTATGCGTTTTTCGCGAAAATTTCAGGAGAGCAAAATTGAAGAGAATAAAATTTCCTATAAAAAAGGTTATATGAAAATTTTCCCTAAAGTCAACCGATTTTCCGATCGACATTTGCGATTAGTGTTCACTAAAACTAGTTTAAGTTTAGTTTCTTCAATTTTGTCATGAAACAGTGGCGTATCATTAATTCGCTCATTAATTTATGAATAATTAATTGTCGTTCTGGACAGCATTCATTGCGAACTTACCACCCGGTTTAGTATTGGTCTGGTTGTACCAAAAATGCCGAAGAATGGGGTTGGAAGAAAACAATAACAGGCATTACTCCAGTCACAAGGTTGAAAGATCCACCTCCAAAATCTCTGTTGGCACTTTTATCCTGTAAATGCAAAACCAACAACTATGGTAAAGCCTGCGAATGCAGAAAAGCAGAATTAAAATTTCAATGATTTGTTCATACTGCAATGGGAAATCCTGTGACAATGTCACTGAAGTGTCACTCGACGAATCCGATGAAGAGGAGTTGGACTTGCCTGTAGATATCCCTCTGGCGGCTAGAAATGAAGAGTTGGACGTATTGAGAGACTACCCTGATGAGCCCAGCACAGCAGACACGATCGACTTTGACATCAATGAGCCAGATCCGTCGGGCTTGTGCAGATAAGTTAAAGTTTTTAATTGATCTAGTGGAGTAGGCCTCCGAGGAGACCACGTTAAAATAAACGCACCATGTACTTTACCTCTTGGGTGGTGTGGAAACAAGTACACTTCAATAATTAAAATTAATTATTCATAAATTAATGAGCGAATTAATGATACGCCACTGTTTGAAGACAAAATTGAAGAAACTAAACTAAAACTACTTTTAGTGAACCTTAATCGACATTTGATTTCGGAAAATCGGCTATACATAATATATCATATTTTACGCAAAATTGTAAAATTTCCAGGGATTTTGTGCCTAAACGGTTGTCTTTAGCGAAAATTTTCATAAAACATTTTTTATATGAAATTTTATTCTCTTTAATTTTGCTCTCCTCAAATTTTCGCGAAAAACGTATAGTTTTCGAGATATTCACAAAATACCGATTTTGGGCGCCATTTTGGCAAGATGGCGGCGCCGGCGGCAAGTCTGAAAATGTGCATTTTATGGATTTTAGTCAGGGACCCCAAAACCTATAAACCTGCAAAGTTGCAAAACTTCCGGACTTTTTTCCAAGCAAAAATCCCCAATGACTGAACTATGTCTTAAATTAAAAAGAATTGTTCAAACCCGAGTATCAAAAGTATGTCAAAAACATTTGCAAATATTTTTGGTATATCACTGTTTGCTTCATGATTATAGCAATTTTGCCTTAGATGAAAATGGGAAATTTTAAAATTTACTGTCTAATAACTGGTAATACGAAAATACATAATATACAATAATAAATGTATTTCAAAAACGCTTGTTCCTTTTACAACTTTTATTTTGTTATTAAGATTTGTAATTTTTTAAAAACATTTAATAATTCAATGACAAAAGAAAATGGGCTTCCCTATAAATATTATCTTAGAACTTATTTTTTATATTTAATGCCATTAATTAAAAGATACAAATATTAAATACACAATAAAAAATATTATTAGATACGTTTAGTTACATTATAAATATAATTATTCAAAATAAAACATCAGTTGATAAAAAAACAGAAAAAATCAAAGATATTTAATAGATTAATAGATTTAATAGATTATTAGATATTAATTTATTAATGATTATTTCTCTTCTTGACAAAATGGTGAAGGACAATATTTTAGTGAAATTTGAAATGTTTATCCAAATGTTTTGTTTATTTTAATAGCATATAAATAACATATTACTTTATTAAAATGTCTATAAACATAATTAAAATTAATGAAAGTTTTGTTTTAATCCTTCAAAATAAATTGTGTAGCGAAAAAACGGCGTCAAAGACGGCTGGGGAATGACAATCGATGATAATTTTGGCAGGGTCAATCTCTAGTCGCCATTTACTAAAAATTGACAACAAAATTGACGTCTCCAGACACACAAATCTATTTCCAAAAAAATATTTTTTTTCTAGAATTTTATACTACACCATTTAAAAATCAAATACGACTTTAAGGTCCACTGGCAGCATGTTCCATTAAAGAATATAGAATTTTTTAATTTCCTAGTCGTCTTTGACGCCGTTTTTTTTTCTCGATCGCATGGTATATTAAACATAAAATCTATGCTTAAAATTTCCATGACAAATTTCTAGCACCATCTACAGCCCTATTTCTGAATTATTTAGAATTATTTTAATCAATATTTTTATCCGCTAAGCTGTTATTATCTCTCACAATCTAAATATTTTAGTTAGTATTGGTAGTTGAAAGAGAAATTCAAACGGAAAGAAAAATAATATAAACGTACAGACTTAATCGTTTTAGTTGATCGATTTTATTATGAAAATCTTCACCGAAAATTTCCGAATGCACTTGAATTTTCCTCATGGCGTTGCCATAGCAACGGGGTGGTGACAATCGGGCTGCGCGTGCCCCCACCCCAGCACGCTACATTTTCCTCTGTCAAATTCGCGCACGAATTTCCCAAACGTCAAGTTGGCCGCGACAATCGCAAATGTCGATTGTTTTTATCAGAGCCTACTTTTCTGTCTGACTGTGATATTTTTGTTATTTATATTGTTTGTATTTTTTTATTTTAAAAGCTGTTTTAAAAATACGGAAACGTTTAGTGAGCAAAACTGACTTCGTCTAATAATAAAGAATAAAAATAAGAAGATAAGTTATCCATGGTGAAAGAAGTGAACTTTTCGGTGATCTATTTTTGCGAAGCGACGATAAAAATAACCGCAAGCGCGATTTTAATATAGAAAACACCAAGCTGAGAAGTTTTTTAAAATATTAACGCAATATTCTATGCCTTAAGAAAATCTGCCTTATATTCCGATAGTACTTTTAGTTTTGCGGCTTGACAACAATAACAAACCGGACGCGAAAAATATGAAATATTCCCCAGAATATCTGCACAGGTGAAAAAAATCGATTTTTAGCGTGGATTTTAATTTTTACGCCGCATTAAAACATATTTCCATTCGAAACTTCAACGAACAACCAACAATACAACGCTTAAAATATTATTAATTCCGATTCCAACGAATTTTTTATACATCGTTACGAAAGAAAAGAAAATGAAAGACACAGTAAAAAGACAATTTCGTAGTGACAATATTGAACAATGATGGACATTATCTGAAAAATTCGAGGGGTGATAAAACATGCCTGTTAGGAGAGGTCTGGTGGCACCAAGAACTACTCTCATAGAAACTATTATTAGAAAATTTGATACTGACAGTGAGTACCTACTTATTTTATTTTTTTTAACTCAAAACACTTACTCCTTATATAATTTTTTTCTTTGTTTTCGATTGATTTATTGCATGCCTGCTAAAGCAGTTTTATCCATAATATTTCCATAAAATTTTAGTAATACAGAAAGTGTTGCAAGAAGGATAATATTAAAAAAAAACTAAAAGGCTAAGGTCAGAGGAGGTCATAAAATAATAGGTTAGTAGGTTATTCCATTAACTGTATACAGAGTTTTTCACATAACCCCTCCATTACAAATTTTTTTAGAATCTAAATTATAGATAATTTACACAACCTTAATGCTTTATATTAGGGATATTTCCAGGTGTACCGAACTTTGTTTATTTTTCCATTTCCTGGTACTGCTAACCAGAAGTGACTGACACGCTTTGCGTATTTTAAATAGAACTAACTACTTATATATTTTAAGCATTTTGGATTCTACATAAAACTCTTAAACACATTTTGCATATATAGTCTAGTTTCCTGGGTCTAAGTGTAACCGTTTTTGAAATATTTTAGACTTTATACCAAATGACATTTGCGAAATAGAAGTTAATTAAACATTGTTTAGATATATATTAATGCATTTAAAAAAATTGCTTGTGTTTTATGAAATGTTTTATTCTACTAAAAATACACTCACCGGCACGAAAATCGGGCACTTTAAAATTATGATGTATTTTAAAGTTGAATATATTTTGTTTTAGTAGGCCGATTTTGATGATTTTTAAACAATTTATAGCTAAATTATTTTACTTTTTAGCATATCTTTCTAAATTAAAAATGATAGTTGTTATCTGTCAATTATACGAGGAAAAACAAAATGTTGATATTTTTGTGAAAATTTGGAGCATCCTGTGGAGTATGTTAATGTTACCGAAGATAGGTTTATTTTTTGCAGATATTCGTTTTTGCAGAAAACACTAAGATATTTTCGTATTATTTGCACTAAAACCAAGCCTTTGCTTTTGGTCCTAGTTAACAGACCTACAAAATAGTGTTGTAATGTCAACACAAATTGGTTTATGTTGGTTTACAAATGGTTAATGTAATGTCACTGTCTTTGAAAAATTATATTATCTATTATTGTGTCTTGGGCAGTTACTCTTAGCAGATATGGTTTTAAATCCAAAAGTTGAAAGTAGCAATAGCCCATACTTCAGAACTTAGCTTAACACCATCTCTACTAAAGTATAAAGCTTGATTTTCATGCGCTACCAATAAAATTAATATCGTATCAACGTATCGTCGGACAACGTATGCAAACCATGGTACAAAGGTATGATATTGCGCAGGTTGGTCGCTACGTCACAGGTGATAACAGGCGCTATTGGTCAGCACGCTCCGCGCGCCAATTCAAATCGTCAAAATATTTTGTAAAAAAAAATTTTTTTGTTTATATACCGTCATTGAACTGTCGCTAAGGAGGTTACTTTGGAGCAGTGGGTGAAAACTATGAAGAGTCAGAAGAGGATAGGAAGCGAGAGACCGGAGTTCGAATCTCGGCCGCGTCATAACTTTTTTATTTAATTTTTTAAATACTGTTGTATTCTATAGTTTATTTTTGTAGTATAAAAAAAAGAACTATTTATTCTGTTATTTTTTAATCTCCGATATTAATATAAATTGATTGTTGGTACAATACCTCATTTAATATAGAATAATATTCTACTTTTTTAAATGTATCGGACCCTAATTGTACCTAAAAGTAATATATTTTTACAGTGATATACCATATTGTAAACTATTTAATATTTCAGTCACTTAAAAAGTTAATTTGTATTGAATAACTGCGTACCATTAAAGGAAATTTGAGCTATAATCCTTGATGGGCATATTCTGGGTATGCAAGTACTTCCTTTAAATTTTGGGTTTCGTTCAATCGATTTATTCTCAAAACCTGAAACATCTACATATAAAAAGAAGCACAGGTCACTAATTATAATAAACTTCACCTTTGGAATTACTTCCACTATTTATAATAAATTTCATCCTTGGAATTACTTCTATTACAGTTACAATACATTCATCTGCATTGGCATTTTCTACTTTTCGATGGGAAACAATCAACTTCACAACATTTTTTAAATGATGTAACAATTTCTCTTGTGGTGACTTTTCCTAGATATCCACATCTCTGTCCCCATAAACATAGCAAACTAAAAACCTAATAACAGTTTTATACCGAATATAGAAATAAATTTAGTATTCTTATCTATTGTCGTCCAAATCCATGTTAATAGATAATTAATATTTTGGATTTTTGTCTTTTATTTTTAAATATATTTTTCGAACTGCTGGTTTTAGTAATTATTAAATTAAACGAACTAAAAAGTCAGAAAAAATAAACAATTCTTAACCATAACCCTAAAAAATACAAAAAATCTAAGCAAAAAATGCAGATCTCCTGTCAACTTTCTTTATTTTTTATTTATTCATTATTTTTCCAGTGACATCACAGGTGGTATGCGCGAACTGAACGAAATTGGAGCCGCTATCGATCATACCTTGTATTCTTTGTACCATGGATGCAAACGGATGCATGGAAATCAAGCTTAAACGTCAATAAACAATAATAATATAACTTTTCAATGACAATGACATTACAAAAACAATAAACACTATTTTATAAGTGTGTTGATGAGGACCCAAAATCAATACTAAAATTGCTGTACATCGTTACTGTCTTATTCAAAAGCGAATATCTCCAATAGAAATAAAGCTATGAAATGAATGAAAAAAAAAAACAAATTATCGAGAAAAGACGTACTTAGTTGAAGAAATAATTTTTAAACTCCTTGCTTTGTTAACATTATCCACACGGTGTTTCAAACTTTCACCAAAAATCAACATTTTGTTTTCCCTCGTAGAATTGACAGATAGAAACTTTATTTTTTAATTTAGATAAGGATACTAAACAGTCAAATAATTTAGCTACAAATTGTTTAAAAATTGATCAAAATCGGTCCACTAGAACAAAATATATTAAACTTTAAAATACATCTAAATTTTAAGGTGCCCATTTTTCGTGTCGGTGAGTGTATATTAATTGGTTAAATCAAAGGTAAATAAGTCACTTAAAAAGTTAAATGTGTGATTAATTATTCTTATACAAAAAAAATTATTTAGAAGAGTTTGATTTCGACCACTAGAAAGTATCTGATTATGACTGATTACTTAATCATTTGATATTATTTTTTTATCGATGTTACATTCGAAAACTATCAAATAAGATTAACAAACTGCTCTCATCATTGGACAAAAAGAAGCTAGTACCGAAAGTACCGAGAAAACCGGAAAATTCCTTAGAGTTCCCGAAAAACATTTTGTGTTTCGGAAACCCTAGTGCAGACTGAGCTTTATTGTTGTATGATCTGCATTAAATAACATATTATTGCGCGATCAAAACTTTACGATGGCGAACGTCTATTTGATAAATGAGATTTTAGTCGAAAGAAATGAATGTTATTGAAAACATATGTGTAGTTAAATATATATTTGAATAGTTATTTCGGTATTTTACGTATTAAATCATTTTAAATACCATTCACGCAACGATAACATTTATTAATACTAGGTCGTTTATTAACAAATAGCCACATTCAAAGAAAACAAGGCCCTTATGGAGTATAATTAAATTCCTGCACGGTCTTACTAAATTACCGTATCGTATACAGGTTGTAATTTCTTTTGAAAAATAGAAAATAAAATTGAATTTCGGTACCGTAAAATAGGGCGCTTTTGGTCGAAATTAACTCCTGATCCGTTAAAAATTATATTTTAGATTTTGCTAAATTTTTGTGTTTGCAGGTATTTCGTGAACGTATAGGTGTCTACTTTAAGTTGACTACAAAAATAAATTGTCTCAGGTTTTGAACGCAGACATGATCTGCACACATGTGTTTTGCCTGTTAAATGTACCTTATGGACAAAGATCAACAATCGATGATCATTTTGGCGTTGTCAATCTCTAAACGTCATTAACTCAAAATTGACATAAAACTTCAAAAATGAAGGCTTATTATAGAAAGATGAAAAAAGGGTAGAGCGTTTCCAGACACACAAATCTATACCCACAAAACTATTCTTTCTCGAATTTTAAACTACACCATTTTAAAATGATTTTTACTCAGTATAAAAAGACATCACAACCTTCTTAAGACCAATTGAGAGTAAGCGCCATTAAAAAGTAAAGAAGAGTACGGGGCATGTAAATAACGTCTAGAACTTGACCTCGACCAAAACTATCGTCGATTGTCATTCCCCAGCCGTCTTTGACGCCTTTTTTTAAACGTAAGGAATTTTCTATGTCATATACAGAGTGGTTCACGCTATTCGACATGGAGTTTTGTAGCCAAATGATTAGATTTTTGGTTTGGTTTGAGGTTCGTTGGTTTTAAAAATAGTTGTGCAAAGGATACAAAGTGTTAATTTGTATTTGTCGTTTGTAATGCCAAAGTTTTATATTCCACACCATTTTTTTACATTTTAAATACCATTTTTTACCCGCCTTTTCAAATCTTCGTAGAAAATGCAGTTTCTTACAATTTAGACCCTCATTTATCAATATACCCATGGAATATCGACATTATACATTTTTTTTAAAGTAACAAATTTATTAAATGTACAGATGCTAAAACGATAATACTGCTAGCCCATTTGTTTACAAAAAGAAAATTATTTAAATTTTTCCTAACAGTGTAGACTAATTAAATATATCTCCATTATTTCCGCCTAAATATTAATTAATTTTATATAGTCCCCCCCCCCATTTTATTTGTGTAATAAATTATTTAAAATAAATGTGGATTTGAATCAGAAATCAATATATTAATAAATATTCATTGGTCAAAAATTGAAACAAAATTTAAAAAGTATTACTTTTTAACACACTGTCTAATACACATACAAAATTCAGTTTTTTTAGTATTTGGAGCAATTATTAATCAGTATCAGCATACAATAGTCAATTGATGTAGTTC